GCTAAGAAAACTAGCCACACATAATTTGGTCAATGGAATTCCTTCTCTCAAATTCAAAAAAGATCATCTGTGCTCAGCATGTGAGTTGGGAAAACTAAAAAGGGCCTCACATAAAACTAAGTCAGAGACTTCCTGCACCAAGCCATTGGATATGTTTCACATAGACCTCTGTGGACCGATATCCACTCAAAGCCTCTCTGGAAAGAAGTATATGCTGGTATTGGTCGATGAATACTCCAGATACACTTGGGTTGAATTCGTAAAGAAGAAATCAGATGTTCCAGACCTACTCATTGGAGTGATGAAAAAGACTACAAGTACTTCTACAACAAAAGTTGGTAAAGGTTTGTAGCGATTATGGAACTGAATTCAAAAATGCCAAAATTGATGACTATGTCTTCAGTGAAGGTATTACTCAAAACTTTTCATCAGCAAGAACTCCACAACAAAATGGAGTAGTAGAATGACGAAATCGAACCCTAGTGGAAGCAGCAAGAACCATGCTCGCTTCATCGGAGTTACCAATCACTTTCTGGGCTGAAGCTATTTCCACGACATGCTTCACCCAAAATCGATCAATCATCAACAAGAGACACCAGAAAACCCCATATGAGCTTATCAACCACAGGAGACCAAACGTCAAATATTTTCATGTCTTTGGGTGCAAATGCTTTGTACTCAACGATAGAGAATATCTTGGCAAGTTTGACCAGAAAGCTGATGAAGGAGTCTTTCTGGGCTATTCTCAAACCGCCAAAGCCTACAGAGTCTACATCAAGAGGACTAAAAGAAGAGCATCTGATTCATCACTTAGCAAACCCAATGAATCAGAGTTAGCTCAATTATTTGAAGACATCTTCGATGAAGAAGTAATTTCTGGACAAGAGACTAATGCAAAATCCATCTCCAGAGTCAATGATGAACATGAAGACTCTAATATTGAAGGTACATCTCTCACAGAAGCTCATGTTACTTCACCATCTACTTTTCCTGTGTCTTCATATCATGATCAAGAACCAGAGTTTAACCCTGGAGATGATCTTGTTGAGGGAGAGCAAGCAGTTCCATTAGGCGATGGAGAACTGCATCATGTTGCTTTAGAACCTCAATCAAGCACCAAGTGGACGAAAAATCACCCACATCACCAAATCATTGGTAA